TCACTTAAAATTTGAAAGTTTTTACGATAAATAGCAGAATTCATTTAATTAAGATTTGAAATTGTAACTTTAATTTCAATTCTATTGCATGTTGTTTAGAATCATAAAGTTCAAATTCAGATAACATAAAAAATCATAAAATAATAATACTTTTTATTAGTTCAATTTTTTTTCATTGATTTATTGAAAATTTGACTACCCTGATTTGATCTCATAGACTCGTAGAAAGATGGTTTTCAAGACTATTTTTCGTTCTTAAGACTCAAATTCAAGACTTTTAATTAAAATAAATAAATTTCTTACTACTAATTGAACCAATAACTGTGATTTATTAGTTCAATTATAAATATATATGGGATAAATTTAAGGGGATGTTACACGTACTACCATTTTTTCTTTTCTTCTTTTACTATTTATTTTGTTATCATTGGATCAAAATCAAATCAACGGTTCTTAGTTGATGTTATTTTATAATCATTGATTTGATTTTGATTTAATTAATTTTCTAACAAATTAAGGCGGCAACAATTATTTTGCCACTATAGTTTTGTTTCAATAGAAACCTAATTCTTCATTGAAGAAGAGAAATGTAAGGTTCAATCTTTTACTATTTTGTATGTTAGGACATATTTGGTGTACAAGATAGGATAAAGTATGATAATATACGATATGACAGTATGTATAAGGTCTGATTGTATAAGGTCTAATTAAATTTTAATATTATCCAACGTTTGGTATAATATTATATAAGATAATGTATTGTATAAGATAATATTATCCAGTATTTAGCAATACACTGTATAATACTAGATATGATAAAAATAAATATTTTTGACAAAAATACCTTTTAATAAAGAATTTATAGAATTCTTCCAAATATGTCATATGATATCAATTTTTATAAAAATTCATCGATCAATATGTCTAAACAATATATTAAATTTTGTAGAAATTAAAATCTCCAATATTAAAAAAAAAACTCATAACTGCTATGTATATTAAATTTAAAAATCGATAGGCGTAATTCAAATATAAGCCTGTAAACAATAATTTTATAAATATCAATAGGCATAATATCAAATATAAACCCAGTCAAATACTCACGCATACTCCTGTAGGGTGTGCAAAAAAACTGATTCACTTGCTCTGCCCTTGATCCGACCTTGACCCGACTCATAAAAATCCATATTTTTTGAACTGGTTTAAATACTGACCCACTTTTATTTGGGTCAGTTTTAGACCTGACTCGTTTTAATATTGACCCACTGACCCAAAACTTGACCCATACCCATTATGTGAAAAAAAAATCACAATTGCATTAAAAAAAAATTTAACGTAAAACAATTACGTCAAAATTTTTTATGGAAAATATTTTCATAAAAATTTTTGACGAAAAATATTTTCATCAAAATTTGTGACTAAAAATATATCGGTAAAAAAATTTGACGGAATATTTTTTTTGTCAAAAATTTTTACGGAATCTAAATTTCGTCAAAATATTTCACAAAAAAATATATTCATAAAAACTTTCGACGAAACACATTTTCATCGAAATTCTTTGACGGAAAAAAATTTCATCAAAATTCTTTACAGATTTCAAATTTTGGCGAGAGTTTTCGACGGAAACATTTTCGTTAAACTTTTTGACAAAAAAAAATTTCGTCGAAATTTTTAGCGAAACACATTTCTATCAAAAATTTTCGACTAAATATTTTCTCAAGTTTTTTGATAAAGAATATATCCATCAAAATTTTCAACGGAACACATTTCAGTAAAAAAAATTCGTAAAATTTTTTGACAAAAATATTTTGATAAGAAATTTTGACAGAAAAAATATTTTGTCTAAATTCTTTACATAATCTAAATTTCGTCGAAAGTTTCAAATGAAACATTTTCCTCAAAACAGTTTTCATTGAAAATTTCGACGAAACACATTTCTATCAAAAAATTTCGACGGCAAAAAATTTCATTAAAATTCTTTACATATTTCAAATTTCGGCGAAAGTTTTCGACGGAAATATTTTCGTCATCAAAAAATTTCATCAAAATTCTTTACAGATTTCAAATTTTGGCTAAAGTTTTCGACGGAAACATTTTCGTCATCAAAAAAATTTAGACGGCAAAAAATATCGACGACAAAAAATTTCATCAAAATTCTTTACAGATTTCAAATTTCAGCAAAAGATTTCGACGGAAATATTTTCGTCATCAAAAAATTTGGACGGCAAAAAATTTCATCAAAATTCTTTACAGATTTCAAATTTTGGCGAAAGTTTTCGACGGAAACAGTTTCGTCATCAAAAAATTTTGACTGCAAAAAATTTCGACGGCAAAAAATTCATCAAAATTCTTTACAGATTTCAAATTTCGGTGAAAGTTTTCGACGAAAAAATTTTCGTTAAATTTTTTGACAAAAAAAAAATTTCATCGAAATTTTGAGCGAAACACATTTCCATCGAAAATTTTCAAATAAATATTTTCGTCAAGTTTTTTGATAAAAAATTTCCATCAAAATTTTCAACGAAACACATTTCTATAAAAAAAATTCTGTAAATATTTTTGACAAAAAAAACATTTTGACGAAAAAAATATTCTGTCAAAATTCTTTAGAGAATCTAAATTTCGTCGAAAGTTTCAAATGAAACATTTCCCTCGAAATAATTTCCGTCAAAATTTTGGTCAGAACACATTCCCTTCGAAATTTTGAACGAAAAACATTCCGTCAATTTTTTTGACAAAATTCTTTTTTCGTTTAAAACATTTGATGGAAGAAATCATTTTCGTCAAAACTGTTGACGGAAACTAAATTTCAATAGAAAAAAAAATTTTGTGAAAATTTCGATGAAAAAATTATTTTGTGACGAAATTTTTGTCTTTTGCAACGTAAAAATTTCGACAAAATTTTGTGAGAAAACCAAGTCAAAAACGGGTCAGGTCAGATTTGACCCACTTCAGAAACCAAGTCAGGTCAGATCCAAACTGATTCTGAACTAGTTCAACAAAATTCAATCCAAGTCAGACCTGACTTGGATCAAATTAAAGCGGGTCAGGTCAAAATACCTGACCTATAAAAACCAAGTTGGGTCGAGTCGGACAAAAACCTGATCCGACCTGACCCATGCACAGCCCTAGTCTCCTGTAGCGAAGAAGGACAACTCGGTTTGCTCCATTAATGTTGTCAAAAAAAAAAGAAGGAAAAAAGACTATCATTTAAAAGGATATAAATTGTGACTTTTTAGATGATTTACACAAAGTATAATTGGTCAAAGTTTGTGTAAATTTGAAAAGCTACTTTTTTTTCTTTCTCCTCAGTCTCATACGTGTAAAGTGAAAAAAAAAAAAGTAATTTTTCATAATTACATAAAGTATGACCAGTCATATTTTATCTAAGTCATTGTGTCCTTTTGCTAGACCCGTCAAAAAATGGTTGTTTTATTCTAAGAATTTCAATATTTTTCTTCCTCTTCTCTACTTCTTTAGAAAATTAGCGTTCGGATTCTTTTTATGTCTCTCTGTCTTCCAAATCACTCAGATTCTGCCACATTGAGGGTTTCAACATTCCATTTGCTATCTAACTCAATTATTGATGTACAAATTTTAAAAGAATGATGATTGTCAATTTCCAAAATTTTATTTTCAATATCAAAATATATGGAATAACTATTCCTCTTAGTAATCCTTATTTGCATCCGGCTGATCGATGAATGGATAGATATAAAGTGAAAACAAGAATACGCATGAATATTCTGTTAGTAGACTTAGACTCCTACGAAATACAGATACTCCGATTTTTTTTTTTCAACATATCAAATACGTATATCGAAAACGTATTGTATCGTATCGGTAAATTAATCGTTGTATCGAGAACATATTGGAAACGTGTTGAAAACACTGGGTCAGAGTCCGTTGCAGGGGTTAATGTGGGGGATGACTGAATTCTGTTATAATTCAAAATAAGCTTCTTGAAAAACGTACGTGTCAAGGGGAAGACAAAAGTGAAGACATGAATAAGAGAAGAAAGTTTGTTGAATGAGAGAGTTGAATTTATGTATAGAGGCTCTTAAGCTAATTAAGTTCATTAGAGTAATCAGTAATATCATATAAGCTAATTTCTCAATCAATTACTATTTTTTATACGTATTATATTAGAAAGTGTTCAACTCTTCTGTGCACATATCTTATCTTAAACATGACATAAACATAAACAATAAGCATAAATCGTTATCAGTAATATCCAGAATCACGCGTCATTACTCATAAGGGTCAACTAAATTACACCTAACCTCAAATTTGGGATCCTACAAATTGCAATGGCTTGCCTCTAGTATTTTACCAACTAAGATATCTCTTTGCTTTTGTTCTAAGAAAGTGACTCACTTTAAGTCAATAGAAAAATTGGAAGTTGGCGTGGGTTGGAAAGAGACAACCAAGTCCAAAAGAATATAAATACAAGGACAACCCAAGCCATTTAAAAAGCCATCACTGCTAGGACAATTCAAAGCACTTATTCATAAATCCTCTCTCATATTTCCTTCTCTCACTCTGCCTCCAAAATTTTCAACCAAAATAAAGAAAGGAATTCCCCTGCATAGACTAGCTCTATATCTATCCTCACACACCCTCTCTCTCTCTCTCTCTCTCTCCCATTTTTGAACTATACAATCTCAAGTGTGTCACAATGGCAACATTTACCATAAGAAGGGCAATCACCTATATTTTTCTTACAATTTTTCTCTCTTCAGGTGCCCAATTTGTTCAGTTTTTCTTTCTTTTTTTTGTGTGCTATTTATGCATGTGTTATTGTTAATAGAATTGGAATAGTGATAAAACTCTTCCTATGATATTTTGAGACTGCATTAATTTAAATCTGAGAAACAGTCAATGGTAAGACTGCGTATTAAGATTGTACTATCTTATCCTTGTTAATCAGAGTTTAATGGGAGTGAATTTTTATTTTTATGCATGATATTGTTGCTGCATTTTCTTCTTGATACCTTGATATGGTAAATGTAAAAAGAAGTGTGATTCCCATTGAATCATTCTGGGTAGTACTAACAGATTTCACTGATTCTGCAATCACAGATATTGCATTTTTTGGACGTGTTGCATCGCTTGGAATCAACTATGGCCAAGTAGCTAACAATTTGCCGACACCAGACAAGGTCCTCGAACTCTTCAGCAACTATAAGATAACAAAAACTAGAATTTATGACACCAATCCGCAGATTCTGAGTGCTTTTGCCAATTCAAATGTTGAGGTCATTGTGACAGTTGAAAACCAAATACTGAGTCAGTTAAATGATCCCCAACAAGCACTACAATGGGTAAGCGACCATATCAAACCGTATCTTCCAGACACAAAGATCACTGGGATTCAAGTAGGGAACGAGGTGTTCACTGATGATGACACCACTCTTATTCAGTATCTTGTGCCAGCAGTGGTTAACATTCATAATGCTCTAGTTCAGTTAGGCTTAAACTCAAAAATCGATGTTTCAACACCTAGTTCCTTAGCAGTGCTTGAAGAATCTTACCCTCCTTCAGCTGGTAGTTTCAAAAGTGAGATCTCTGGGATCATGTACCAGTTTTTGAACTTCTTGTCTAGCACTAATGCACCCTTTTGGATCAATGCCTACACTTATTTTGCTTACAAGAGTGACCCTAATGGGATTTCTTTGGATTATGCATTGTTTAATCCTAGTGAAGGAATGGTTGACCCCAATACCAATTTACACTATGATAATATGCTTTATGCTCAGGTAGATGCTGTTTTATTTGCCATTGCTAGAATGGGTTTTAAAGGGATAGAGGTTAGGGTCTCTGAGACTGGTTGGCCATCTAAAGGAGACCCTGATGAGGTTGGTGCCACAGTTCAGAATGCTGCAACTTATAACAAGAATTTGTTGAGAAGGCAAATGGCAAATGAAGGGACACCTCTAAGACCTAGAATGAGGTTGGAAGCATACCTTTTTGCGTTGTTTAATGAAGATATGAAACCTGGACCAACCTCAGAAAGGAACTATGGCCTCTTTCAACCTGATGAAACTATGACTTACAATGTAGGGCTCTCTACTTTTGCAACCACATCTACTTCAATTTCTCTTACCTCCTCTGCCACTAAGACAAAGGTAAAAGTAAAACCATAATCTTTATTTATTCATTTGTTCACCTCTATAGGAGTTAATTACCTTATAGCAGAACTTATACATCAAATGTTAAAAGGGGTTGGTTTAAAAATTTACAAATCGTCCCATTTGTTATTATATATTTTATCAAAAAAAAGTTCAAGTATACTAGCTATTCTTACGTAGGTAGGTGGTACACTTTGATCAATGTCAATCTAATTATCTTCTTTTATACTTTTTGTTACTTTTCTTAAAATCAAAAACAGGCAGCACCAAAGGAATACAAAAGCTTGTTGTACTGGATGTTTGTGTGTTTGCTGACTTCAATCCTTTGTGGCATTGTTTGAGAAGAATATTATAATCATGTGGAGTGATTCATGTGTACATACGAAACAAAACTGTTGGGATTTTACATTCTTCAAGTTGCTAAACGGAGACCCCTTAAAGTATGAGGATATATTAAAGGCACCCTATTTTGCAGAAATTAGGACCAACACACTTTCCAAACGATGGGGCAACAAAATCAGCAAAACGGCGAAGGGACAAGGCAATTCAATGAGAAGATCACCTTTCATTGAGTGGTTACACTTTCACCTCACTAACCCCACCATTAGTCACATTCCAGCAAAACAAGCATGTGGCATGACGTGAGATTGAGCTTATTTTAGGTAGATAAGGACGGAAAGCCACCTCATTCTTTTATTACAAGATGTTGCAGAAGATTATATTCTAGTTTCTGTTTAAATACCTGAATTGTCAAATAGGAAATATGTTTTGTACATTGCTGATTTTGTAGTATTAATTTCATTCATCCAAAGAAGACTAGAAAAAAAAAAAATGTTGCTGCTTGAGCAAAAAGTAATGAGGCTAACCTTGTCTGCCTTATGCCTCACCTTATTGGATGATATGAAAAGCCCTCTAATATGGGACGTGGAATCCATAACTGTTGTTATTTGTATATAAAATACATTTCCTGATATTACCATTCTTTCTCTCGTTAGCCGCTTTTCTCAACTTGAGTTATTTTATTATAGTACAAAGTTGAATAAAAATATGATATAATGAAAATCAAATTAAAGTCCACAAAGTTAAGGCTTTGTTTGCTTCTTTTATTATCCTCAAGCGGACAATAGGACGGTCCTGCTTTATTCTCTGGCCAAATAACCGTCAGCATAGTGCCTTTTCCAAAGGTGCCTTTATCAATTTTAATTTTCCTTCTATTTTAAAGGAGACAATTAAACTTCAGCCTTATCAGAATCTGATGGGATTGGCCTAGCTCTTTGACATCAATGAACGTGGTGGTGCACATGAGCCCCTCAAATTCTCAAGCTGACCCACCCGACATAAAAATTAATTCTTTTTCTTTAGGGGCATAAAATATATACAAGGGCAATTTGCAAATGAATCCCACCAAGATTTCTTTTGTCATCATAGCCTTGTGGAACTGAACCTTCTGATTTGAAACTGCTTCCTTCAGACAAGTGCTGTGGCAGCATTTTGGCCTTCAATCATTTTGGTTACAAGTCCAATATGAAATATCACAAATAAAGGGTCCCAACCATGAGTTTTTCATGATTTCAACAAGTGCTATCCTAAGTTAGACTCCAAGTGTAAGGGGTCTCATTTCATTTGCTAAATTGTTAACGCATCCATTCATAGCTCTATTATACATTTAGGGATACTTTGGGTGGACATAATAGAATAAGGGTAGGATATGATATGGAACTGATAAGGGTAAAATATGATATGAGGCTGATAAGCTTATATCATGTTTGTGTTCGATGAGTATCTGATTAGCAATCTGATAAGATTATGTAGAAGGAGAAAGGAAAAAGAAAAAACAAAATATAATGCAATAAATACAAATATATTGGGTAGCGTGGGGATATATTAGGTAATGTGAGGATATATTGGGTATCTAATATTGGTATCCTATCCTATTGAATTCTAACCCAGCTACCCCATAGGATAAGAAATCATGTATTGTGTAACATCCCAAGAGCTGGCAAGGGGCAGGGAGTGATCGCCGGTGCGAAAGGGCACGGACAATGAGCGGCTCATGCCAAATCTTGCAGCTTGGGGGTTCATGAATGAATCGAATCAACACCCGAAAGAGAGGGATTCCAGAGACTGTGCCGGTATGGGACGGTACAGTTAGGAATGGCTTATAAGAATTAATTGGTACTATCTATACAAACAAGATGCATCTACTTTTCGGTAGCCCGGATCGGAAAAACTCCACAGTTAAGCGTGCTTGACTTGGAGCAATTCTGGGATGGGTGACCTCCTGGGAAGTTTTCCCGGGAAGTGTGCGAGTGAGGACAAAGCACACTGAAAAGTCTCGTGTTAGTGTGTGGGGACAGTCATTAATTCTTGCAAGTGGCCGGGCGTTACAAGTGGTATCAGAGCATAGCCTCTCTTCCAGTATGGTGTGGTTCGAGGACGAACCAGGCGGAAGCTGGTGGGCATGTAATATCCCAAGAGCTGGCAAGGGGCAGGGAGTGATCGCCGGTGCGAAAGGGCACGGACAATGAGCGGCTCATGCCAAATCTTGCAGCTTGGGGGTCATGAATGAATCGAATCAACACCCGAAAGAGAGAGATTCTAGAGACTGTGCCGGTATGGGACGGCACAGTTAGGAATGGCTTATAAGAATTAATTGGTACTATCTATACAAACAAGATGCATCTACTTTTCGGTAGCCCGGATCGGAAGAACTCCACAGTTAAGCGTGCTTGACTTGGAGCAATTATGGGATGGGTGACCTCCTGGGAAGTTTTCCCGGGAAGTGTGCGAGTGAGGACAAAGCACACTGAAAAGTCTCGTGTTAGTGTGTGGGGACAGTCATTAATTCTTGCAAGTATCCGGGCGTTACATATTGGATAGGATAAAATGAGATAATAGGATAAGCTAATCATATACTATTGAGCCACCAAATAAGAGATAAAAATAAAATATGATAAGTTATCCTATCATATCTTCTTTGCTCCAAAAGAGACCCTTTAGTGTCGTGAGTTATATTGTCATGCTCATGATATGTTACTTTTTTTTTATATATGCAAACAGTGGCACTTATATTTGAACTTATAACATTATGCAAACTACCAAAAATCCGGATCAATCTTAATGGCTTATGATATGTTACTCTCTTATTTGTGCTTTGTCTCTCGAGTTGTAGTCACCACTCACCAGTCAGATCATTAGGTCAAAATCCACCACCCTGCACGAACTTCAACATGGCCCTGCTGAATTTTGGGGGGCAATGGTGAAAAAAAAAATGTCATGATCATTAAAAGCTTGTGTCCAGTACCTTTCAAACTTTGATTAAAAACAGCTGCATAATTTGTAGGAATTTTTCTTTCGTTTCGTACCTTAAGATGTTAACCTGTTTTTGGTATTTCAATTTTACCTTTCATTTGAACCTTTCGATGAATATTGATGGTCTTGAAAAGTATTTCTCCAGATTTAGGTGGATCACTAGGAGGTCTCCACGTGTCGATTTGGCTTTCCCCGGACGTCATGATGCAACCTGATTATATAAAGAAAAAATGAAGCATAATGGGACGCCATGAAATGTTCTTTTCATAGTGTTTTTCATGGAATTTATGTTGCAAGATCATTGTATATTAAGAGAGAAAAAATGAAGCATAATGGGGACGCCATAAAATGTTCTTTCATAGTGTTTTTCATGGAATTTATGTTGCAACATCATTGCATATTAAGGAAGAAAATATGAAGCATAATGGGGACACCATGAAATGTTCTTTCCTAGTGTTTTTCATGGAATTTATGTTGCAAGATCATTGCATATTAAGGAAGAAAAAATGAAGCGTAATGGGGTCGTCATGAAATGTTCTTTCATAGTGATTTTCATGGAATTTATGTTGCAAGATCATTGTATATTAAAGGAAGAAAAAATGAAGCATAATTTTCGTGGAACTTATGTTGCAAGATCATTGTATATTAAGGAAGAAAAAATGAATCGTAATGGGGACGCCATGAAATGTTCTTTCATATTATTTTTCATGGAATTTATGTTACAAGATCATTGTATATTAAGGATTAAGTACTAAGATTTCAGTTTAAATAATAAGTTTAATATTTCTATTTTGGTGCAGAAAAAATTTGTGTGTCACATTTATATAAAAGTGAGTGAGTCCGATTAATTTTTTCTTTCATCTCTTTAAAATGGGACCAACTTACTCTTTCATCTCTTTTCTTTTTTCTTTTTTTTATAAACCACAAATATTTTTCAGGGAAGGCAATTATGTTCGAGAAAGAACATCCACATCATGGTTGAATTATCTCTTCCAAAAGGAGATTTTTTGCATTCACAAAATTTGAACTCAAGATCTTGTTTAAACGAAATCAAACATGTACCACTTAAACCAACTCTTTTTTTTGTATTATACATCGTATTCAAACACCTTGAAATGTGTTTCATGGGATTAGATGATTAAAATAAGAAATCAAGATTGCTCAAACTATAAACCTTCACCTTTCTTTCTATGAAACTTATTCAGGCAATATACATCTTAGGCATTGTCTCTACAGGAAGTTCTCCACAAACAAGTTTCTGATGAATATTTTGAAATCTTCCCCGGGGACTAGGTATCATTTTAAAATTACCAAGAATAATTAAATAACATCCCTAGAAATAATCCCTAATGATGTTATAATCATTCAGCTAGCCATATAAAAGGGAAAAGTCTCCACTAAGTTTCAGGGGAAACAGTTTAATTTTAAAAAAAATCTCGGTTCATTGTCCATTTATAGATCCGTAAAATTTTGTTTATGCAATCAATAGAGATGTATAAACTCCACAAAAGATGTAGAAGTGCTAAGGAATTCAGTAAACTATTACATTTATCTCCATAACCTTTTTAATTAAAATCCGAATTACAGCAAAAAATAAAATTAAAAAATGAGGAAACAGTTACATTACACGTTACTCACACGTGGTTTCAGTAAATTTTATTTTTTTTCACTTGATATTTAAATATTTTTTATTTTATTGCCATTTTATGCGCATCCACTTTCTTTAATTTGATAAAATAAAAATAGCGGTAAAAATGAATAAAAAATGATATCTGAAGTATGATAAAATAGGATGAAATAAAACTATCAAAATCACATGTGAATAAATTACACTTCTGTATCCAAAAAAAAAAGAAAATTACACTTCATTCACCAAAGCAGCCTCCTAACGGAGACAGAAAGACAGAGAGAACGAAGAAACCATAAAACAGAAACCAAGTAAGCTTCCCTGCGTTCAGTCTACAGTACAAATTTCATTTCACCACTATATGATCGCTTATGATCAGCTTTTGTGAACTAATAATATTTACCCTCACCGGACATTTGGTAGAGGAGAAATTTTTTTTATCCGGAAGTCTCAATTTTAAAAAATATGATGAAAATATTTAATTTACGATAATATCCGAAAATTAAAAGAATTCAGTTTTTCGGAAATCCTACCGAACGCCCTATAAATTCCCTCTCCCCTAAACATCAAAAGAAAATATAGTAGGAGGCACCGATTTAGCAAACACATGCACTTCGGAGGAAGAAGTCATATGGTAGTGAAGATCTCGTCTTCATTGTCCTAGCGGTGGAACAATATGAAAATGACAGCTCTTATGATCTCTAGCCCAACCGTTAAAAAATCACAAACTAATGAAGAGCAGCACAATACAAGGAGAAAAAAATGGCATTAACATGAAGTCGCAATTTGTTTTGCGGGATGCATGAGTTTAAATTTCGGCCCATGTCACAACAAAGTACTTATTCAATGAACATAAATCGCACTGACAACATCGAAAAATATTGTTTATTTTTCAGAAACGACAACAAATGTAGCACTAACTCCCACAAGCCAACAACTTTAATACCCGACAGTCTTCTTTTTCCACCACTCCAGAAACTTAGCCTCAGCAGCCAATGTGTCCACCCTGTAAAGTTGAAGTGCATGATTTGCTATTTCATGCCCAAATGTCCACCCAAATACACCTCCAGCTAAAAAAGACAGTCCAGCACCTGTTCAATACGATAAAAACATGAAGTACTTAACAACGTACATGAAATACTTTCATACAAAAAAACCTATATAAAAACATATAGAAAATATTATAACACTACTTTAGAGTTTAAAACAATTTAGGTGGCAAAAAGAGCAAAGAGTACTGCCTGCTTTTGCTTACAATATGATAATCAAGTTAAGATCTATCCAAAAGCAAACTGCTGTAGAAAAAGGCTTCAATAGTATGAAATACACTAGATTACCATGTAAACTTCTTGAATATTTCCAGGCGAAACCTGCAGTAAATGCAGCTCCCAAAGCACTTCCTGCGAGACCAAATTGCACTGCTTCTCTAGCAGTTTTCAGCTGAAATGGGAAACAGGAAATTACCCAAGCAGCACTTCAGATGACAGTTAATTTGAAGTAAAAACACAAGACCAACTATATGTTCTAGCAGGTGAACTATTTATATTACAAAAAATTCACAAAAAGATGGTGAAAATAATATCTTAAAATTTGACAGCTACAAAAACAGTCATTGATATAGAAAGGGTTAGCAACTTAGACTTGCTGTCATTTGCTATTTATTAAGAGACTGGGCTCCAGCAAGAACAATAACACATGAAACAAAAAAAGTATAGTTTGTCCACTATGATTTTTGTTTTATACAATATTCCTTTTTCTCTTTGGGGTAGAATCAGGGGATTTTTCAAGGGGGATCACCAATCATCATTGGTGTTGGAAACATGTTCAGTTCATTGATCCCTTTGGATTATAAGAATCACAACCATCCATAGATAGATAACTGTTGTCATGTCTAGTGAGTGATGACAATAATTCGTATTAGCGAAACTGATGAATGATGAAAAGAGAAAACAGCTATAATGACGTCCGAAGGACATTCTGTTGATGTAAGAAATCCTATTACACTGAAAGGAGTAGGACTAAACTTTTGATAAACATGTACTAATTCCAATCAAGGTGAGCAGATTAAAAATAGAGCATCCTAATAAATCTGCTTCAAAGGAGGTCAGAAATCATTAACTCTGCTTCATACGGTGGTAAACCATTAAATCAGTCTATACCTAAAATTGCCACTGTCATTGATTGTCAGTGATGCCACACTACAAGTCATCAAAGACTTTAAATACTTAAAAATTCATGCAAGTAACACAGAAGATTACAGAGACAATGATGCAAAACCAACTGAAGAGACATGCAGCTTGGCCAACCTGACATAACATGGCTGAGAATGCAAAAATACACAGACATACTGTACTAAAAAAAAATACACAGACATATGGACTACCACCACATTTTAGGTGAGTATGATGGCCTAGTTCATCCGCCCAAGGTCGAGGGAGAGCTTCTATAAGGAATTTTGAACTATATCAGCAGATCTACCAAAGATATCCTAAACAGCACATCTACAGTAAGCAAGAAAAAAATAATGTTTTCCATCTATTGAGCAGTCTTGGTGTAAATAAACTAAACAAAATGCAGCAACATTGCCAGGATTGATGAATGAAAAATATTGCTGAAGTTTCCAACTAATGGTGCAAAGAACAAACATGTATCTTAATGCATTTGCGCCTTAACTAGTCCCACTAATTTTTTGACAAAGTTTATGTTATGGCTCCGGATTTCAGGAGATGAAAGCTACAACAATGGACGACATGGAAAAAGGGAAAGATACAGGAAATGAAGGAAAAGGAAACACTTTATTAAAGAATGAATACAAGAGGTGAACCTCTTCAGATGGGAGATGCTCCCTTCCCAGTTCACATGAGAATGTCTCAGTTACTACAAACTTTCCAAAAGATGTCCTAACACAAGGGTGTATCCCCTTATATAATAGCGGATGGCTTCCCTCCTACACTAGTTGCACTGAAACAACCTCCTAACTAACTATGCAACAGAGTACTAACGGTAAAAGGAAATAGCTTTTTCAGTTTTACATTTGACATTTTTTTCGTCAACAAAAGCACAAGTAGTGAGAAGTCTACACCATCTTCTTATGGACTTGCCTATACATGTAAAGAACAAGCTGTCTTCTACTTCTGACTTTGTGAGCAAAGGAGGAGTCTCCTTGAAGATTTACTCTCCATGAACGTGTTTGTCAAACAACAGACCTCATAATCCAAATAAATTATGACAGAGGACATACCAATTACCTCTTTAAAATAACACCGTTTTACCAAAACAAAGATTGCCCAACACTAAGAAATCTAACATTAGGATCCAGATCCAAAGATAAAGTGCACCAGATGGAAAATTTCCAATCTAAAAATAACAAGCACACATAAGAGGACATGCCGATTAAACAACAAAGGAGATACACACAATAACAATAATAATACAAAGTAATACCCAAATGAGCATCCCACACTGATACATAAATCCTAAAGGACATCTAGAATTACATAAAAATTGGACGCATGATACAAAGCGAAAGCGGAATCATATTGTGGGCCAATACAAGGAAGAGACAGTATGTCTTCTACTTTGAAGTTTGAACTCTGCAGACAAAGTAAAAGTCTCGTTGAAAACCAAAAATTTCCTGAAGCGGAATTCATGAAGGAAAAGATAGTACTCTTTCATCATAAAATAGTCAGTCCTCATATGATCTAAATCAAATTTTGATATAGAAGGAAATATGACCTCTCTGAAATCACCATAATTTAAGAAACGCAAATACTATCCTAATTACTAGCAGCAAGACATTTAACACTATGAAATGAAAAAAAAAAAAAAGGGAAACTCAGTCAGTAGTGGAATGCTCCTAGCCGTTCATGTACTCTAAATCTAAAATTAACCAAGCACACATGAGAGAGCCTTTCTTCCAATCAACAACAATAATAACTATAGCAAATAACACCCAAATGAGCATCCCACACTAAAAACATAAATGTTATAGGAAGCATAGTTTATGTGCAAGTTCGGGATACGTTGCAAACATTAGAAGGGGACCAGATTCACTACATAGATGTGAGGACAAAAGCAATAAAACATGAACAATAGCAGCAGTCTCCGTCTCTCCGATGACAAAAGTATGATAACTTAAATCAAAACGACATCAAAGGACACAAATGGAGACGACGAAGTGAAAGAATTATTACCACGGGTCCATGAACAGGATCAGAAGCAATGAACTCCTCGACATCAGTGCTAGACCAGGATGGGATAGGCTTATCACGGTTGATGAACCTTGAATAGTTGCCCAAAAAGGAAAACCTCTCTGACCAAAATTGTTTGTAGCCTTCCAAGAAGGACTGGGATGATGAACCTTGTGTGTTATCTGCCATCACCCTCCCCCACTTTCACTTGTTTCCCTCTGCAGTCACTAGTGACCAATCAAACTCAATTCCTTAGAAAACATAACTCACTGAATCAAGCATTAAAATCAATCAATAATAAAAAAAACGCTGGGTTTTCATAGTTTCCTCATAAAAATCATTTGTCTGAAATTTGAACTCTTTGTAAAAATAAATAATACATCCACTTCCGTATTCGTCCATAATTTGGAATTCGAATCATTCAGCGAACACATAGCAGATATCTTAACAAAATCGATCAGATTGACGGATCACATCTTCAATTGAGAAAACTCCTAATAGCAATTTGAAGAAGAAGAAGAAGAATGGGTTACCAAACGAGCAGGAAAAGTAACGCTGACGAAGACGAACGGTGGCTGGCAGAGTCGTTTTCTGAAACTAGTGTGTGTCACACTGCCTAGGTTTGGAAAATTAAACCGCAATCAATATGCTTTGGTTCAGATCCACTAATTTTGTCATATATTTTTTTTTTTTTAAACAAAATTGTGTCATAATAATTTAACAAAGCAATGCAATTATAATTGCGCCATGTGCATGAAAACATGTGTATTGCATGACACACATGAATGTGTTCAACACGCGTATTTGGGATGATGTGCGATTTGTATTATTTATATGAAAAATGATACTCTGACAATTAATTAGGTCATGTTATCAATGTTATTATCAATTAATTTTAATGTTAGATTGATTATGTTGATCTAATAGTTATATTTATTTTTATCTTTATATAATTATGATTTCTTTTATATAATATTTAATATTTATTTGCATTTCTCTTCTGCATGTCCATGGAGTTTTGAAAAATCCAAACATCTCATAAATAGATAGAGAGGTAGGAATTTATCGAACGAGCCGCACTCCTTCGTATACTTCAGGAGTATAATTATGATTTTTTATTTTAATATTTTCACATTAAATATGGGGAATCATAATTATACAAAGATGGAAATAAATATACTTGTTGGATCACTATAATCAATCTAACGATGAAATTGATTGGTAGTAATATTGATAATCACACTAATTGATTATTACAATATTCTACCCCTATTTATATTGGGCCAAAAAAATTAAAAATTAAGATTTAAATAATAAATTATAAAATTAATATCCTCTTTAATTATTTTGCCTAACAAATGCAATCAGTAGCACCCAAATAGAAATGCAATTAGGTGGCATCAATTTGGAGCAATTTATGAAAGCTTGTCACGTGGCATTAAATGTGATAGACTGTGTAATATACAATTTACAATTGAGCCAGTAACCGAATTGGTAATAACTTGAGATGATCAAATTGAAATGGACTCAAATTTGGGGGAAAAAAATTAAGATATTGCATTTTTAATAAATAATTATAAATGAGTTGTTGTTTCAAACTTATTTACGGATCTATTGTATTTATTTATGCCCAAATTAGGTGTGATTATTCACACCTAAATTAGGCGTGAATCGTCTTGTGTTGACACGTGGTACAAAAAGTTAATAGTTTAACCGTAAAACTTCATAAGGCCATAACTTTTGACTCGGGTATCTAAATCAGGTAATTTTTTTTATTCTACATAATATTTTGAGATCTATGCAATGACATCTCATTTGATATATTTTATCTCTCACAAACAAAGTTCAAATTTGCAATAAAGGTAGTATAAAGATGGCACCAAAGTAGATTAGTCCATCTAAAGTTTGAAAAAATCTGTGATACAAAACAAAGGTGAGTCTTTATAGCTAGATTCGTTGGAAGCTTATAAATGGTTTTCAAAAATAAAATTTTTCTTACTTAAAGATTTAGAATATTTATTTAATTATTTCTTTTATTAATACGGATCTTTCAAATTGGTTTTTGAGTTTAAATCACAAATCAAATTTTTATTTTATTTTCCTTATTAATAATATTTTTAATTTTTTAATTTAAATTACAAACCAAATCTTTATTTATTTTTTATATTAAAAAATAAAAAAAATGATTTTTTAATTTAAATCATAAATCGAATCTTTATTTTTTTTATATTAAATCTCAGACGCGGAATTCGAAGGCTTATGGTTTAAGCATTCTTATAATATCATTATTGCAAATTTGAATTGTTTTGGTGAGAGATAAAATATGTCAAATGAGGTGTCATTGCGTAGATCTCAAAAAGTTTTGTGGAATAAAAAAAAATTACCTGATTTGAATACTTAAGTCATAAGTTATGGCTTTCCAAAATTTTACGGTTCGTAAGTTGATTTTTTTGTGTCACGTGTCAATACCAGACGAGTCATGGCCAAATTAGGCTTGACTATTCACGCCTAAATTAGGCATGAATGCCTTGGGAGTCACACTTAATTTGAGCGTGAATAGTCACGCTTAATTTGGACATGAATAAGTGCAATAGATTCGTAAATAGTTTTGAAACAGCTACGTATTTATAATTATTTATTAAAATAATAATATTTTAATTTTTTTTTCCCTCAAATTTGACCTAGTCCTTAGAATCACTCTTATAATCAAGACTCATATTTTGCAATGAGCACCCGTTGAGCTTTCGAAGTCGGTTTCATTGATTTTATTTTTTATTTTTTTGTCATTACCTATTTAAGGGCATCGTGAATTATAATTTTTTTGTTATTTTTTTATTATCAAGAGCTGCTGCTACTATGAATACTTATGTATGATTATTATAATTATGAATCATAAATTGATTTTATATATTCAATGACTGAATGAACACTTTGCATAAAGACACGTAAAACTACCAAATGGCAATCAATGAGAGGAGAGATGTTACACATGCTTATAAATAAATTGCACTATTCATGAACTATTTGAGCTTTATTTTAGAGGATGAATTCACAATAAGGAGTAACTAGCTTTTGACCAATTAAAATAAAATAACTAAGTTTAAAAGACTTTTATATTATCATTTAGCATTTTATGTTATTATTTTTAAGGAAAAAGTTTGCTTTTGGGGTTTGTTTCAGTATCTATGTCGTGTGGTTTTTTTTATCATATATACCAATATGATTTGTGAAAAGTAAAAAATCACAGGTACACATGTGACAAAAAAATATAACCTTTTGTAAACTACAGATATATAAATGATAAAAGAAATCACAAAAATATAAGTGATTCTAGAATAAATCACAAGTCTATTAATGAACTTTTTGCTATTTTCAAGGAAAAATATATTTTTCATATTACAAAGAAAGAGTTTATACTTACTAATTACTACCTCTCTTTTCTTATTATCTTTTACTATCAAATCTTAATTGTTAATTTTCGTCAATCTAACGGTTATAACTTATTGGGTCATACTTATTAATTATTTAGATTGGTGAAAATCAACGGTTAATATTTTATAATATCTCCCTATTACAATTTATCTCATGTACACATAAAAAATGGATGAGTTTATCAAATAAAGATAACTTAGTTGGTGTTGGTACATGAGAACTGAATAGGTAGGGGTGAGAGTATCTATTCAATTCTACTCGTGTTATCTTTGGAAGAGATTTAAAGCCTTAATTTTAAATTCGTCCCAAATAGAATTATCTTATGTGAAAGATACATATGGTTGGTTAATAAAAAAAAAATATGTGAGTTTTATTTTATTTTTTTCTCTTTTTTTCATAGTGCATTCCATTTGCTTTTTTATGTATTATATTAGATAAATTATACCAATATTTTTATGTATCACACGAGACAAAATTATGGAAACATATTCCTTTATTTTGAAAGGATCTTGACTTTTAATTATGGTGATTCATTGCATAAAACTATAAAAATAAAATATACGCTCTGTGATTGTGTGCAGCAACAATGGCTCTTTCCTCAGCATTCCATGAACGACTCGAGCATATGGACCGCACTCGAATTCAACGTCTCTCTCAACTCCAGGTTCAATTCAATCCAACCTCTAACTTCCTCTTTACCTCCAAAGAAATTCAAAGTCAAGACCATGAAAAACAAACTAATATTTGGTCTTGAATTTCCTCTTAGCATTAAATTCTGAGCACACAAGTTTAAGATCCGTATCCTCATTTTTCTATGGAACCAAACGGATGAAATTTCCGTTATCAATTTGCAGGCCGAGAAAGAGTTGCAAGCCAATAAGTCTCAGATTCTGGCTTCAAAGCTTGCAAACATCAGGGCCATGGAACAGAGGTGCTCGTTGCTCGATCGAAAAATCGCATCGCAAAATTTCAAGATTCTGGCTCTCAAGTCTCAAATCGAGAACCTCGAAGTGAAATATGAATCCGTTTGGCAAGAATTGAGGTATCCACCACCAGCGTGTTAAACTGGAATGTTCTATTTGTTTGAGTGTAACCGTTTGATTGGCGTTGGATTTGAGCCTGTTTAGGTCGTTGCAGAACGAGGTGGAGGAGATTGAGGAGTTGCGCAAGAGGAGAGATAGCTTTTACGAAGCGAAGATGATGGAAATGAAGGAGTTCAAGGAAATTGCTGAGAAGTTTGTTGTGAAATGTGAAAGGGAAGTTGAGAGTTTGAGGAATGGTGTAAATAAGGTTATTGGAAATTTGTTGATTTGCATGAAATGAATAACAATGCGAGTTAATGCGGTGATTGCAAGGTGTTTGAATTGAGTTATCTTTCTTGCTTTCAGCTGAGGTCCTCTTTCATGGAACTTAAAAGCAACAACAGGAATTCTTGTAATTCGGAGATAGTTGCTGCTGAGATGAGAAGGTTGGAACTCTTGGCTGAGAAGGAAAGAGTGTGTAGAAACGTTGCTTCTAACCACCAAATAAAAGCACAGTTGCAAAAGCAGCTTCAGAATATTCTTATCACGCAAACTCAAGATAATGGAACGGAATTGAAGACACTACCTAGCTAATTTTGCTCCTTCTGGGGCTTCCTTTACAGTTCCTTAGTTTCTGTTTCTTAGGGGCTTAGCCCTTCATTTGTATTAAAAAATAGAGAATTTTTTTTGGAATATTCTGATGACACATGCTCAAGAGAAGCAATTTACATCACAGAATTGGGCGTACATCTTCCTAGAAGGGATGAAAATTTTACACTCTTAACTATCTGCTATTAATTAGAGCAAATCATATTATATTATCTAAAGCCCAAGAAAAGTGTGCAGAAAAAGAAAATTAAGGCAAATGAAGAAAAGAGTCATTAATTGCTTCGAATCCTAATAAGCAACTACGAATTTGGATATGGGCCTCAGAAGAGCTAACAAAAGTTCAAAATTCCACCACCCATAGGTATAAATCCTATAAATAGGGATCCATGGATCACCATCCAAAAAATTAGTTTAAAGGATAGGAGTACTTAAGGTCATAAATTCTACATTCGTCCCCTACACAATTAATATGAGACTTCTAACATTGTCATCCTCTTTAAGGCCGACATCCACGATGACCTTTACTCTGACCCGATGGTAGCTCTTTTTCCTTTTGGGCGGCTTCACTCACCTATTAGTTAGCTCTTTTCGCGGCCCGACTCTTAAATAGAGCACCAAATGATAGGGATCTATAAGATCACCACCCGAAAAGCTAGCTCAAATGGTGGAAGTACTCAAGACCTTATAAATCTCACATTAGTTGTTTACACAATCAATGTAATGTGAGACTCCTAACACACTCTCTACTGCACACACACCACTCGTAATCTGTTTACCTCAAAGTTATCTCTTTCATGGGTACCTGAGAGTTTCGTTAAATCCAATATTAATATACTAAGCTTTGACTAAATATCTGTGTCTCCGGACCGAACACTATGTATATATTAGTATTTACTTCTGAATTTGATTTTTTCTAAAATACGATGTGCGTATATCTTGAGAATAAAACACATTAGTAATCAGGAGCAGGTGGTAACAATTTTAAAATTTGTTAAATGGCTGGAAATCAAAATGTAAATACTTGAATTTTTCAACACTATAACCAAAGCCCAATACTGGGCCCAACATTCTATTCAAACAAGTCCTATTGTTTCTATCCTCGTATTCTCCAGATTCTTCTGTGATGACTGATGAGTTGAGAGGAAAACCCTAATAAAAAAAAAGTGAGAGCCCCAAATTGCCCCTGTAGGCTGTAATGTAAAGCTTCCTCTAGCATATTCCAAACGCCATATAAAACATAGTTGAAGAGCAAATTTTCCTCTTATCGTCGCTTCGATTTCATTTGGTGAAAAATGGCGGAAGAATTGGCTTTGGATTTGGAAGAGCTTCGTCACTTGCACGGAATCGCGAAAAGACCTCGAACACTCTCTCTCCTCACCTCTGAGATTCGCAACTTGGAGAAGGTTTTCAGTTATCACTCTTCATTTCCTTTTTGTTTTTTAAATTTCACTATTTCTGGGCTTGTTTAGCATTATTTCGTTTTAGCACTTCTTGTTAATTTACCTTTTTCTTTTTTGATAACCTTATCTGCTTTGTTTCTTGTGAATTTTTATTGCTTTCTAATTCCTTCACGAGAGGATTATTGCGGTTTTATTTACTTGTCAATTGTGTTGTATAATTGCTTATTAGTAATTATTATCTGCTTTTTGTTTTGCAGTTATCAACAGAGGCATCCTCTGCACGAGCGTCACAGATTCCAGCACCAATTTCAACTGGAACTAGGGTGTCACCTGCACCTGCACCTGCACGGAATTATTCTACACTTGCATCTTTCAGTTGGGATCAGGATAACGACAAAGTAAAGGTAAAGAGCACATAATTCTTGGAGATACTTGTCATGGTGTAGAAGTAGATATCTGAGTGTTGATAAACAGCATGGTATTCTCTACCTAAGTTCAAATTTCGATTGGTTCTGTTTCAATTAATCATCAGCTCATTAGGGGTGGCAATTCTTGATACGACCCACTAACCCGACCCGGACCCGACACGAAATTTTCGTATTTGGGTCAACCCGTTTACTCTTCGGGTTGAAGAAAAATGACCCGAAAAAATTCGTGTCGGGTTCGGGTCAATCCGTTAACCCGCTCTGACCCACAAATAGTTTTTGTATAAGGTTATTATAGTCATTTTTGTGAGTGGTATAAAAGAAATAACATATACTTAGGGTTTCAAACAACCCTTTTCACTCTTATTGGATGTATATGCTTTTATTGGATGTAAAATCAGTGCCTAAATACAAGTTTTGAATGTGAGTATTCCAAAATTCGTGTCGGGTCGAGTCGTGTTAACACGTGTAATAATGGGTCATAGTTACATTATAAGATTATTCGTGTCGTGTCGTGTCAACCCGAAAAAAAAGCGGGTCGTGTTTGGGTTGAGAATTTTGACACGAATAATTAATCGGGTCGTGTTCGGGGTGAGGTTTTTTGTGTCGTGTAAAACTAATGTAGTTAATCACTTGTAAAACTGAACTAATCATTCCGCGTATCTGTTGCGTAAAATCGGCAAGTGCACCGATCGTACCAAGTAATAAAAAGTGAGTAAGATATCTTCCCACGAGGATTGAGGCACCAAATTTAATTTTAACTATCCCTTTCTTAATTGGATGAACAAAAGAGGTTTTTAAAGTAATTGTATCGTGACAATTGTGAACCGTTCAATATTTCGTGAACAATTCAGAGAGAAATTTGAAGAAATTAAAATCAAAGATTGAGATTTGAGAAAAATATTAAAAGAAAAACTATTGCAGTAAAGGACGCCAACACCTTTCCGATCCCCACCTTGTAATATTGATTAATATTTATATTTAATTACCCAATTGACCAAATAATTCACCATCTATAATTAATGAGTTAAGCCCTAATCCCTTAGTGATCTTAACCTTATTAACCCTATTAGAATCCTAATCCCTTAGAAATCTCTTTTCAAGTTAATCTTTTAAGCCCAGTGAATTTTTCACATTTGCAGTTCATGTAGCCTATCCCTAGTGCATACATGAACAGTTATCTTACCCTTTGTCAGGAATTAGAATCCCAATATCCCTATTGTGAACCCTAACCCTCGCAATCCTAGTAGAGTCGCGAATTCTAAAAGAATTATGGAATGAAGAACAGAGTAAAATAAATTCAATTGAATAATTAACCATAAACTTAACCAAAATACAAGGGGTTCACATCAAGGGTTGTGACCTTACCACAATATAAAAAACTAGCCAGACATATTCATGTCTGACAATTTAAAATAAAAAGAATTCATAAAAGCAATAAAGAAAAAGAAGAAGAAGATGAAGGATCTCCAACATGAGCCTTAAGAATTCTCTCCAGCTAAAGATGTTGTTTTAGAGTTTCTGCTTCCTTTATATAGCCAGCTACTCAATCAGGTCATAATCCTTGAATTAATTCTGATTAAATTTTCATTTTTCTCATAATTCCACCAATCAATCAGGTCATAATCCTCTCATTAATTTGATTAAATTTCACTTTTAATCAAACTCCACAAATCAAGGAATGCATCCATGACGCCCGCGCGATCAGTGCCAAATTCGCGACTCCACAAATCAAGGACTGCATTCATGACGCCTGCGCGATCAGCGCCAAATCCGCGCGGATCGCGCCATTTTTTCCGCGAGACTATGCAATTTTAACTTCTCTCTTTCACTTCTTTTTGGTGTTTCCTGCTATCAAAATGCATAAATTGAGTGAGAGAATGATTGAGAAGGAATAATCAATATTTCTTGCATTTATGAGCTTATTTTCACACATTTATGATTAATTCCTTGCTTCTTTTACTTAGAAATCTCCATATGTTAGATGCATATCAGTATCACTTCACTCGAGGTTGGATTGGGGTCCCCTTAAGGTTGGATGATTAATGAAAGTGGAAGGTAATGAAAATGAGTTCCATGGAATGGAATGGAATAAATTGTTATACCATTATTTGGATATTTTATGATGGAATAGAGGAGGTTTCTCATTTCATTGGTTGGGAACTGGATAGAATAGCTGGGATATTAGTAAACAAGTTGTTCAGTCTCATATCTATTAAATTGAAGAAAGAAAAATGGAGGTATTGGGTTCTATTTTATTTCATCTTATTTTAAACAATTCAAACAATGGCATCTAATAGTTACTTTTTTTGTCAACCGCAGCAAATTTCTCTTGTTGACTGTGTTTCATGTTGCTTTTGCAGATATACGTGTCTCTAGAGGGAGTTGATGAAAATAAAATTGAATCTGAGTTTAAACCAATGTCGTTTGATGTTAAGTTCCATGATATTCAAGGGAAGAACTACCGATGTGCAATACCAAAATTGCACAAGGAGATAGTGCCAGAGAAATGTAAGGTTATGATCAAGCCTACAAGGGCGATCATCACATTGGTCAAGGCTTCCAAAGGAAACTGGCTAGATTTGCACTTCAAAGAAGACAAGGTAGTGAAATTCTGAGTAAAATGACAGCTTCTTTCCCTGTTAATCCATGTGATGAATAGTAACTTTTTTGTTGATGTTACAGCTGAAGCCAAATTTGGATAAAGAGAAAGACCCGATGGCAGGAATCATGGACCTAATGAAGGTCAGATTATGTTTTATCAATAGTTGGATGAAGCTACTTTGTTTTAATTTTATGCATTTACTTGTGTACACTTGAGAACATTCAATTTGACCTTTGCCATGCATGTAATGAATTGCAGAATATGTATGATGATGGAGATGAGGAGATGAAGAAAACAATTGCGAAAGCATGGACTGATGCTAGATCTGGGAAAACAGCTGACCCTTTAGGTAGCTATCGTTGAGCGAAGAACAGTGGTTCTGATGTTCAATTTCTGTTTTGTAGAGAATGGTTTATTCCATTGGATTGCATGATTTCATGGTTTAAAATGAAAACTTGGCCTATGTTCATGGCACTTGTGGAAGAGGGGTGCAGTTATTGTTGCTAAAGTGTTTTACTTCGTCATAGAATGGGGTGATTTTTGCTTGAGTGCTTCGCTTGTTTGTTGCGTGGTTTTTTTTTTATTGCTTTGAATTTATGTAGAAGAACCGCACTAGGCTAAAAAGAAGGTCAATAAGTGACTGTCCAAACGTTGGACCAACACCTATTAATTAATTACTCTTAATGTATATAGGCGGTCCTCTAGATGTAGCTAGACGGTATGAGTGATTTGCACATATTGTTTTAATGATTAAATATAAAAGTGAAGTAATTAGTTATATAGTATATCGGGGGTAATAAAAGGGATCCTGAAGGCATAGTGCTGGAAACTATAAATACATTGTTTAAGGTTAAAGCAACTATTAAACTCGTTTTTGTCCCTTGGATCTTATGAATCAGAATGTTAAATATGCATTTGCTTTGGGTATGGAATTAAAGGTTTCTTCATGGTCTGAACTCATGTAGCCATTCGTCCGGCGTAAGGTTTTATTTTGTCTATCCTTTTCGAAATGTTGGAAAAAGGAAAAATAGAACATAAATTTTAGTTTTTTTAATAGATAAACATAAATTTTAGCTCTAATTTAGACTTAAGTTTTATTTTTTTATTTTTTTATTTTTTTATAATTATGTATTTTAAGAGTATATATTTATAATATTAAAATTGTATTTTTTTTTTCTTTTACATGTGAAAAGTGTAAAAAATGCACTGCCAAATCTAGAATTAAATACTATCCAAATACGACTGTGTGTGGATTAACTGATAATCAATTTCAAGTCTTAAATATATATTTGATTAAACAATTTGATAGAAAGAATTTTGCTGTCACTGTAATTCTGTTCAACTCAACCGGATTAAGCTACCCAAACAAACCTAATTGAAAGGAATTGCACCATTACCAGTAAAAGTAAAACAAAGTAACTAGCTTAATGATTCTATTAGAAATTTAAACATTTTATATTAAGGAGTATTAGGCAAATATAAATAAACAAAAATGCCCTACACCTTTTATTTATCAAAATCTAAGCAAGCATATGAATCACGTGTATGTCTTCTCGGTACTCTCTTCTATAAAAAAGAGAGAAAAAAAAAATTTCATTTTAACCCATATCTTTTGTTTTGTATAATTCATTTTAAGTTTTAAAATTTTCCTTTTCAATATATATATATATATATATATGTGTGTTGTACCAAAGATTTTCTCATTTAGTATAAAGGTAAAGGATTTTTCCGGTCAATGGAGATAAGTTATCTCCAGTGAGCCCAAAACGACATCATTTTAGAACAGAAATCAAGGTGTTTTTGTAATTATATATTGCAGTGTTATTTTAGTCTTTATCATTATAATTTTTTAATCATATAAATTCAAAACAACGTCGTTTTGTGCTCACTGAAGATAACTTTATCTCTAAAGTTATCTCCAATGACTTTTCCCTCGGTATAATATACATAATAACTAGCTTTAAACGAGAAAACCTTTTGTTTTTTTTAGTAATTAAAAGGGGCTCAAGCCCAGAAAACACAAAAAAACAAACTACAAAAGGGTAGTGTCGATCTCTGAGAGAGATTCTAAACCAACAGGAGCCACAGACAAACAGATAAAAGGTTCCTGGAGGTTGATAGCAGCTTTGGCAATCGAGTCGGTCCTCGCGTTATAGGTATATCCATACTAAAGTGGGAAAGATTTTAGGACTTAATCGGAGCGTTTGGTCTATGAGAAATTTTTTTTTATTTGTTCGAAAATAATGTAACAGTCTCAAACCTTGTAGCATGGTATTGTCCGCTTTGCCCCGCGCACAAGCACCGTCGAGCTCACGGTTTTGTTTCTTGGGACACCCCACAAAAGACCTCACACTAGAAGAGGTATCTACACACCCTTATAAGGCATGCTTCGTTCCCCTCTCCAACCGATGTGGGACATTACATCCTCCCCACTGGAAATACAGCGTCCCCGTTGTACACATCGGTTCAGGGCCAGGCTCTGATACCAAATGTAACAGCCTCAAACCCTGTAGCATGATATTGTCCGCTTTGCCCCGCGCACAAGCACCGTCGAGCTCACGATTTTGTTTCTTGTGACACCCCACAAAAGGTCTCACACTAGAAGAGGTATCCACACCCTTATAAGGCATCCTTCGTTCCTCTCTCCAACCGATGTGGGACATTACATCCTCCCCCACTGGGAATACAGCGTCAAAATCTCAATTTTTAAAAATATGATTTTTATTACGATAATATCTGTAAATTTAAAATTTTAAAAATTTTAGTTTCCCGGATTTATCCGTATACCAAACGGCCCCTAAAAATAATTATAAAAGAAAGGACGGGTTAAAATAGAATTTTTTTCCTTTTTTTAATAAAAAGAAATACCGAATTTGATACTCTCGTTATATTAAAGAAATTTTCAATTTAGACGGGCATAAGGACGTGCCTCAACCATGACAATGTTAAAGGTTGTAAGTCTTTCAATAAACATTATTCCCAATTGGTTTTGTAATAGTAATATTGGGGTTTGTATCTATCATGCAATAGAAAAAAGAGAGAGTTTCTTACACATACAATATTTTGTGGGCGTCACATTTTTTGAAGTAAAAAAAAAAAAAAAACAACCTAAGGAACGAAATACGAATCTCTATAACATGACCACTTCATTTTTCCTACAACATAACTCTTATAAAACCCTAGCTAGTAATATAGTATATTTTCTTTCATGAATTTCCATAAGCCATGTGAGACCATGGTTTCAGTATTAATAAATAGAGTAAATACCTTTTTGGGTCTTTAATAAATTTCACGATGCCTATTTTAATCCTTAAAAAAAAAAGACCATTCGTGGTCCCTCGTAAATTCAAAGTAGGCTCGTGTTAGTCCTTCTATTAGTGGAGCTCGAGCGGCGTCAGTTTCGATGCTCACGTGTAACATTAAGTGTTTGACTCACATTCCATGTAGGATATAAAACGACGTCGTATTAGTTTTCCATGACAATATAACTTAAGTTGTTGTCTTCTTCTCTTCAGTATGTTTATTTCTGAAAATCCAATAACCCAACACACCCAAATCTAAATTGGTCATCTTCCCCGTAAGGAAAAAGACCAGAAAAAGTTTGTACCTTGTACCTGCACATCACCGTGCAACCCTTGCATCAACAACTATGGCATCGCTCGAATAATTGATCCATAGCCCAAACTGCAACCAAATCCTGCTACCCCTGTCCTTCTCCGCCATGCCTTCTGCCATGATTTCTCTTCCTCCCTCGTCCAAGATCCGAGCCCTTCTTACACCATCATCCCTCACGTGGCACAAAAAGGTCTTACCCTTACACTTCCACTCTCACTCCCTTCCCTACAATGTGGAATCTTGTTGTAGTCACTCACCAATACCAATTCATCACACGAGCCCAATAACTCCATGGCCACATCATCATATACTTGCCCTTTTTGCTTGTGGTGATATTATGTGTTAGTACATAGGTGTCCTACAGACAATTTGAGAGTCAGATGGACCCATGTACTTCTTTATTGTCCTGAATAAATTTTATGAATAAAAACATTCTTTATCTTGTTTCATATTGCATGTCTTAAATATTGAATATGAGTAATTGGATAAAGCTGTTGGAATGGAACAAGTGTCACATTGAGGATCTGTGATAGGGATCACGATCATGAGGGCTTAATGATACCACATGCCCATTGCCAGAAATATGTTCCTAGTCTAGAGATACCAATAATGGGCATTGGTGATCTAGGGTAAGACTAGCACTATTCAGCTACTTGCATGGAGATGCAAGGTAGAGTCCTCGTGAGCTATGGATATGGAGATGTCTTAGCTGACTCGTGGGTGAACCTATTGGAGAATAGCTCGCACTGAATTGACCCACAAAGAGACACTACAAGGAAATCTCACAAATAGTATCAATAGGTAATGTCTCTTATTATTTGGGTGTGTCTTTCCTTAGACCTAACATTGTTATATAGACCTATGCTTTGGAAGGCTTGCTTTGATTGTATACCTTGTCTACCTAAAACATGGAGACTCGTAGGTATACTATTGAGCATACCCTAAGGACTTAGGGCTAGTGTGACAAGCTGAAAGAATTCGTCAATCTTTGTGAGAGATTAGGTTATCCGTAGACCAGTGAAATCAGGATGATATTTACGAGACTCGAGAATCTATGCATAATAAAGAAGTCATGAGATGGCCCTCTCTTTAGAGTCCGTAAATGAAGATTCCATGTTTCAGCAAAAGCTAACTTTAGACCACATGGGTTGATACGTTTTCCTTGACCTAGGTCAATGGGACGGATAACTGAGATGAAAAGACAATTCACACGGTAACCAAATAGGTATAGCAGTATGATCATTCAATGAACTCAACTAGCTCTGGGATAACAAAGCATTGTCTTGAATTCTAGCATATGTGGTAAAGCCCACATATTGCGCCAAGAAAGGGTAAGTGGCATCATGCGCCAAGTTGGACTTGATCCATGATGTAACTTAATTAATTTAAATGTTAAATTTATAAAATTAATTTGAATTCTAATTTTGAATTTTGAATTTTAAATTTAAATAATTTGAATTCGAATTTCGAATTTGAAAATTGAAAATTGAAAATTAAAATTTAAATAAAATTAATTTAAATTCTAATTTTGAATTTTGGATTTAAAATTTGAATTTAAATATAGTCATTAAATTAGATTTAATTAAGATGGAGAAAATAAAGGAAAACAATCAATTAGATTGATTGAAAAACAATCAATTAGATTGATTGACTAAAATTAAGGAAACAATGAATTAGATTAATTAGTTGAAATTTGAGAAACCAATCAATTGGATTGATGGGATAAAATTAAGGAAACCAATTAATTAGATTAATTGACTATAATTGGGGAAACCAATCAATTGGATTGATTGGATAAAATTAAGAAAATTACCCAATAAGATTGAAATTTGATGAGGGCGCTAATTTGACTTAATCTTAGATTAATAAGGCGCCACATATATATAACCATTTTCATCGGAAGACTCGTGTTCTTTAAGTCTAAAGTATTGAT